GCCACCAGGGCGTTGCACTCTCTATTGTTTAGGGTTTAGGGTATAGGGTGTAGGGCAAATTCTTATGGATCCTGTGGGTTCAAGGCGTTCCTCTTCGACATCTTCACGGCTTCAATTCCGGGCGGAGTGAACACTCTAATTGTTAGGGTTCAGGGTTTAGGGTTTAGGGTTTAGGGTTTAGGGTAATTACCCTGAACACAATGAAGCTCAAGAGCAAGACAGCTCCGGCTGACTCCAGGACTCTAGAGACAGCATGCTCAATCAAGGTTCGGCCAAACCTAATCTTAAGAAAATTGTAACATACCTATAGCATAACAATAATCATAATCATGACTACAATATACACATTAGTATCGTCAGTGTGCTCTTTTTGTGTTGGATCTCTGACGTATATTTAATGTCCTTCGTATGAACTTCATAGTATAAGTATAGTAAGGACCCGTACGGAAAAATCTTTTTTAAATTTTTAGGCTTCGATATAGGAGTTTCCGAAAATATGGGGTACCTTATTTGGGGTCCTTATAATAAGGATCCTACTATTTAGGGTACTACATTAGGGTCCCCTATTTTCGGAAAGCCCCATATTTCAGAAGCCCTCGAGCATCCCTGGCTGCCTTTGTAGATGTTCAGGCGGGTAAGCCTCGGCTGTGACATAAAAGGAGCTTTCATGTCAATACACAGAGACCTTAGGTCATGTTTAAAAGCTTTGGGATACATTTTTATATATATATATATATATGTATGTATATGCATATATCTACATATATATATATATATATGTATATATATGTGTGTATATATATATATATAATGTATGTATTCGTCTGATTATCCCTTCGTTCATTTAGTTTTTAAATTACATTCATTTATTGACCTATCTTCGGAAAAATATTACCTTACCTGAAGGAATCCTAGGCCCTAAGGAATACCTACAGTACTGTGTTGCCGGAAATGACAATCCAGCTTGGAGCCTTCTCTCGGATCTGGAAGTGAACGAAATTAGAGTTGCAATCTTCCAAACGCCAGAGACGAACCGATGCGAAAGGGACTTTTCCGTGCCTCAAGATGGTAGACATGTCTTCTGCCTGGTGTTGCGCTCGTTCTTGGTGCGCTGATGGCGCCGGTGGTGGCTGCCACCGTCACAGTCTTCTTAGCCCTGGTTCATGCAACAGCCGCGCGAACTACTAAAGCTAGAGAGTGCCACACTCAAAACCCTAAGCACCAAGCCTTGGAGCCAGCAGCTCCGAGCCGTGCGACACGGCTGCAGCATACAGACATCTTGAACACAAGGCTTCACCAAACTCTTTGAACCCTCCTCAACTGCAGCCGGCTGGCTCAAACCATTTCTCGGTGTACCTGGCCGCCACTGAATGAAGGTTTAAGGCTTAGGGGTTATGAAGGTCAATCAGTACAGTTTGGGCCGTAAGATTATTTCTGGCCTCAGCACACCTTGCATGCCTTGAAAATAAGGACAATCGGGTTGGAATGGTCGGTACTAATGTCCCTGAAAGGTCCTGTATCAACCCGTTAGACACCCCAACACCCTATTCGAATTATGGGGTCCAACACCCTTGTCCCAAAATTCCTAGTTTGGCACGGGACCTGGGCGTGCCTCCATGGTAATATTGCAACGCTAGGGAAGAGATTGTCGATGTCTCCACGACTGAACAGCAAGCAACCAGCCATACAGGAATGAGCCCCAAACCCTCCAGGCTAGACTCTAAGTCCCCAACGACCACCCTCCACTCAACTCTTATAAATTCTAGGACCCCCAGTATGGAAAAAGAGAGAGAGAGAGAGAGAGAGGGACGAGCGACAGCGAAAGAGAGGCGGAAAGAGAGGGAGGGCGGGAGAGAGCGAAGGAGAGAGAGAGAAAGACAGTTATGCGCAGCCAGGCTGCGCCGCGTAGGACATAGAGCCGGCCACGACACCCATCGTCCAGGCAACCAGGAAATAGAAGGCCCAAAGTTGCAAAGAAGCCCTGACAGAGGCCAGTCTGGTCTTGGGGCCTGGAACTGGGCTTAGAAACCATGAACCTAAGGCATCGTATAAAATTCCCTGAAACCGCATTTTAACTGTTAAGGCTCCTATAATACTAGATCCCTCAAAGAACTATGAACCCAGTTGTTTAGAGTTGCATACACATAATTGTCAAGTGCTACACCGTTCAGATTCGGGGCCTGGGACGCTGGAGAGTTGGAGTTGAACACAACGGTTTACATGTTTGAGGCTTGTTGTTTAACATCGAAGCTTGAAACTTGGATACAATCACCAACATATTCCTCAGGGTTCTAGTTGTCGGACAACATTCACCGAAACCCTGTTCTAATTATCAAGGCCCCTGAACCCTGTAAAACCCCTTACATCCTTTATGGAACCCTCGAAGAGCACTCCAGCTTACTAAGGCTGCTGTATTTGGGGGTTAGGGTTTAGGGTTTAGGGTTTAGGGTTTAGGTGGTCCATGGCCACACTCGTCAGAACCTGCGCCCTTGCACCCCTCATCGACGGAAGAAGTTCGATGCACATGGCCTTTACAAGAGGGTTTCTGATTGTGGATACGCTTTAAACTCAAGTTGTAGATTCCTGGCTTGCCAACACTCGGTGACAGCCTGCATCTTTTCGGTCTTGCGTGTCTATCTGTCTGTATGCCTAGCTAACTAGCTAGCAAGCAAGCAAGCTACCTAGCTAGCTATATTCATAAGGCCCAGGTGCATTGTTAGCAAGAACCGTTGAAGCGCTATTCTGATGATTTCAATCTCTTCGGACAGCCAACGCTGAACCTTGAATTACTAAACCCTTAACTTCAAACCCCAGACCCCCAAACCCTACTATAGAGCCCTTGATAATTAGACTAGGGTTTTGGGGCCCATTATACTATAATTACAATAAGGAACCCCCAAAAATAGTTTAGGCCCCTATACTCGACCGTAAACCCAGAGACTCCAAAACCCCTTAATTAAGGAATATACCTTAAATTATAATAGGATCCTTAATATGATTTAAGGTGTATTCCTTAATTAAGGGGGTTTTGGAGTCTCTGGGAACCCGAGACCCTCAGCTGGGCATCCGGACATCTGCTTCGGGTCCACTCCGCGGGTTTTTTGGTCCAGCCACGCGAAGAAGAAGCCTCGAAAGGCTTTGGTCCAATACCGTGTTTGGGTGTATGTTAGAATACTTTCAGGGCTGAGGGTTTAGGGATTTAGGGATTTGGGGTTTAGGGTTTAGGGTTTAGGGATAGGATATAGCATAGTTATAATGTGAAACTCTTAGGACTAGCATGATTAGTAGCTTTGCCGATCCTATCGTACACCGAGGGTGTGACATCCAATTGTAGTGGCCATGATCCTTGGGGCCATGGACGCAGGCTTTAGCTACAGTTTACTGTACGCCACACGGATAGTTGGTTCGTTTTCCATCCCGAATCGGTTCAAGAATGCCAAGGCCTCAACTCTAAATTACATCCAATGCCTGTGTGACAACGCTCTGAAGTCGCAACAAGCGCTATTTCCCAAAGTTCAGATTCCAGAATCCTCAAATTCAGGCAACTAAGCCCTGACCCCGAAACCCTCGACCTTAAAACTACCCCTAAATGACCCTAAACCCTAAACCTTAAACCCTAAACCCAACCCGGATTCCTCATGAAATCCTGGGCTGCAGGCAGAGGAGTACCAAGGCTCCACCTCCGACTGCGGCGGCCGTTTGCCATGGCGCCTGTGCGCTCCGGAGCTCGCAGCATGTAATAGGGTCCTTTCAAAGGGCTTCTATAAGGGAGCCGTAATAGTTAGAATAGGGTTTTGGGTATAGTATATGCTACTATACTTAAAGCACGGAAGACCCAAAACAGTGTTGGTAAACATCTGGGCCCCTCTAGTAGCCACATGCGGAAGTCATGTGGCTTCGTGGTTTAGGGCTTTGGGCTTAAGGGAGCTATGATGGCTACTGTAAGACTGTTAGGGGTCTTATACAGTTTCTCGGGAGATTAGACGGGCTCGCAGTTCAAAGTCTGGATTGTTCCAGGCTGAAGCCCTGAACCCTAAAACCTAAAAGGGTGCCCAGAGAGCCCAATACCCCTTAATTAAGGAATATACCTTAAACGATAATGTTAAGGCCCCTATAATTTAAGGTATATTATCCCTTAATTAGGGGATATTGGGCTCTCTGGGTGTGGTGTGGAGCGATCGGGGTTGAGGTCACCAGGTCGGTGCCCTTTTCAACTCTGGGAGCAGGTCGGAGCCGGGGGCCGGCGAGAATCGGTACATCGAAGACTGCGGGGTTTTGCAGACGGGCATCCTACATAATGTAGGGGCCTTCATAATTGGAATAGGCTTTTGGGGGGGCTCCTTACTATAACTATAGTATAATATACCCCAAACCCTAACCCTATTCTAACTATTAAGGCCCCCTATATTAAAATACCATAACATACCCCATACCCTATTCTTAATTATTGAGGCCCCCCTATTTTTGTTACTCTCCCATAAAACCCCTATTCTAACTATTAAGGCCCCCGATATTAACCTCTCCCGTACATCCCCTAAACCCTAAACCCTAAACCCTAAACCCTAAACCCTAAACCCTAAATCCTAAATCTTAATTTACTACATGCGCCTTGCATGGGCCCAGGGACCTGGAGCTGCTCGGATGACACCTTTACTCTCAACACCGAAACTCTAGGGTTTAGGGTTTAGGGGTTTAGGGTTTAGGGTTTAGGGGCTTAGGGTTTAGGGTTTAGGGGGCCCAGGGTTTAGGGGTTTAGGCCTGTAGAGGCTTTAGAGGGTTTAGAGGTTTAGGGTATAGGGTTTTAGGGGTTTCGGGTTTAGGGTATAGGTTTCGGGGTTTCGGGTTTAGGGCTTGGGGGTTGAGGGCTTTGTGGGCAATCTCAAAGACCCATCTAACCAGGGGTCCGAGTTGCCACGAAGTGCACCGATGAGGCAAGGGCGATGTAGGTAAAAGCCTCTTTCGGTTGGGATTGAGGGTTCAGGGCGTATGAAGAATTCTCGGTTTCAGACTGTCTGTTTGGGGGTTTGGGTGTTTGTTTCGAGGTTTGCGGTTGTGGGCTTAATTATGGCAGTCTATGTCTTGAAGAATTCTACAATGCAACATGCTCAAGGAGCCCCTTACGGGCTGCAACAGAGAGAGCTGTATGTACTCACGGCCGAAAGCGCGAAGTGAATGTTCTTCCGCTGGAGCGCCGTGGATTAACTTATATACGCTTGCAAAGAGGTATGCCCATGCATTTGCCTTTGGAAGTTGATGGTTGCACTGCAGTGCTGCATTGCTTGCAGTTCTGAGAGTCGGGGATGGTTAAGGCTCAGAGAGGTACGTGAAGCTAAGGGTTTAGCGTTTGAGGACGGCTCCGACAGACACGAAGGCACGAACAGCGATGCCAGCCTATGACCAGCCAACGCAGTTAACTTCGCGAGTGGTAACGTAGGGGCCTAAATAATCACCAATACTATTTTGAGGGCTCCTGATTATAATAAAAGTATAATGGGCCCCAAAACCCTATTCTAATTATTAAGGCCCCTATACTACTTCCGTCAACACCTTACACATGTCTTTGCCATCCGCTGAGACGGCGCGAGAGCTGAAGAAAAACCTGTTCATCTAGCGCAGATATATTCTTTAAATCAAAGAAACCATCTTGTTTTAAGATTTGGGTATAAACCCTAAACCCCCCGTCCGAGCTCTGCACATCAAACCCCGAAATCCTAAAACCCCTAAAACCCCAAAAGCATCCCTAAACCCTAAACCCTAAATCCTAAAACCCCTGAAACCCCCAAGAGGCATCAACCATAGAACACCGAAACGCTTCGTTGCAACCCGGCGGCGAAGAAGGCCCATGGGATGGCAATTGAGGCCAGAATGGGCATGAGGCTAAGCCTCCGATTTCTGGGTGGGTTTAGGGGTTTAGGGTTTAGGGTTTAGGGTTTAGGGTTTAGGGTTTAGGGTTTAGGGCATGAGGCTAAGCCTCCGATTTCTGGGTGTAGAGGTTTAGGGGTTTAGGGTTTAGGGTTTAGGGTTTAGGGCATGAGGCTAAGCCTCCGATTTCTGGGTGTAGAGTTTAGGCCGTTCTTAATTCTTGGAAGCTCTTGCGCCGAAAGCTATATTCGGGTCCCGTAGTTGCTGACAATACGGTATACCGGGATCCATCTCCTATGATGAGGGCCGACCGGACAGTTCCCGGGCTTTCAGGGTCTGGGGTTGAGGCTTTAGGATTTGGGCTCTTGGGACAGCCTCGCAAGACTGCGGTGTTGGCTTTGGGGGTTGTTTAGGGTGTGGGGTTGGTCTGTCCATCATAGAACAGATAAGCAGATGGCTGTTGCTAGCATAAATCAATAAATCGTGCTGGGAAAGCCCCAAGCCCTGAAACCATAAATCATCCGCTTCAATCTTGGTAAAGGACAAAAAACCGTAATTCAAGCTGCATTGGCATAGAGACCCCCAAGCTGTGGCTGTGCGAAACAAGGTACATTTCTCCTTGCGGCGTCGCCGCAGGACTGTGTCCTATAATAGGTCCCCTTTGAAGGGCATTACAGCGCTCTCTGATAGGGTCCCCTTTTAAAGAGGTATGAGAAGAGTCCACCAACAGCAGAAATACATCTGAGAGCCTTCCCGAGCTGAATATGAGTTGGCCCGTGGAACCGAACAACACCCTGCTGAAGACAGCTTCTCAAGCAAAACGTTGCTTCAGGGCTGAAGGTTGAGAGGTCGTTGCTCCTGTCTTTGGTTAAGTCACAGCAGTGTCAGCGGCGAAGTTCTGCTTCAGCGTCAGTTCTGAGTTTACACCTTTCACTTCTCAGAAGTTTGCACTCCAAAGTCCGCGACTGAAACATCGAGCCGACATGGAAGAAGGATACGATTTGTTGCGTGCCTGATCTTGGGCCGTCCACGGAAGAGGCCTGAAACACAATGACGGGGCAGGCTTACTTTGA